GATAGCTATGGTGTTTCGGGTCATTGCAACCATGGTAATGTGTATCGTGGGGCTGTGTAAGCTAAAATCATTTCATATTCTTCAACTTAATTGCACAGAAGTAACATTTTAATTGTTCATAGCATAAAGCATTAGAAGAAAATAAAATGTGTTATTGCCTACATATAACTATTTAATGATAACTCACCTTTTCCATAATTTTTTCATTATTATTTGAAAAGAGAATATTTAATTTTTCTTTTAAATTTTTAGGGTGTTTAATGGTCCCTGAAACTATTGAAATTGGAGATTATGTCTTATTTATTCCCTTCAAAGGTAACTTAATATTTTATATTTATTATGTTTATTTAATAAAAGTTTCAAATATTTATTATGTTTATTTAATAAAAGTTTCAAATAGTTCATTAATAATTTTTTTTGTAGGGTGCCTTACAAGAAGCAATATTTGGTGCTTGATTTTGCATTATTCTATTTTATATTATTTGCTTCTGTTTGATACTGTTTGTTTCTACTTGATATTTGTAAGGGTTTGGTAAAGTCAGAAATGTTTGGCACTGTTGGTCATCGAATTCCCTTTGGCTTTATCATTGATTGTATGTTTTCTTCATGCAGGATGCTTGTTGAATTGATGCAATAATGCTTGATGAATTGGTACATTGATGCTTGCCGGTTGCTGCTGCCTATTACTCATTGATGCCTTGTAAATTATTGTTGTTGGTGTGACTCAAATCAATTTTTGAACCTTATAAATTCTTATCTAAATAGTTATTCATGTGGAATTATGATGGTGACATTTTGACTTTTAAAGCTAGAAAGTTACCTATAATTAAACATAAATTTTTGAGAGCATTTATTTCAACATAAATTTATTTTGTTTAGTTGATTTTATTGTAATTTTAGTGTTTTCGAGTATAATAAAATTAATTTCATTTATAAATTTTTTGTTTTAGTATTTGAAATGTTATTCAAATTTCAAATATTTATTAAGTTCATTATTTTAATTAATATATTTTTATTTTAAAATTTCAAGTTAAGTTATACTTAAATTATTAATTAATTTTCACATTAAAAGTAAATTAGATTTATGAATATTTTAACTTAATTAATATAATTTAATAAAATCAAGTTCAATAAAACAATATTTAAATTTAATTTAGTGATTGTAAATATTGTTGTGTGATGCTCATAATTTAATTAATATTCAGCTATTATCAATTTAATTATTAATCATGTTTAATATTAACATTTAGTTATTATCAATTTAATTATTATTTTATTGCCAAAATTATTCATATTATTAATGTAAACGATTAATATATGTTACATAATAAATACTTTTATTATTAATATTTGTTTTTTCTTTATATAAATTAAAATATATAATTTATATAAATTAAACTATATTAATTTTCCTTTTGCATTATTAATAATGTTTTATCTAATTTATATTTAAATAATTTTATTAATTTTATTAAATAATTTTATATAATAGGTCTATTTATTAATATAAGTATCATAATAAATAATTTATTATAACATTTAAAAAGTAATCATATTAATATTTTAATTACATCATAAGCTAAAAAACTAATAATTTATAAGATTTTCATGGTAATATATAAGTCAGGAAAATATCAGATCAGATCATTAACAAGTCGGATTATTTACAGGTCATGTTAAAAACAGGTCAGGTTAAAAACAAGTCAAGTTAAAAACATGTCAAGTTGAAAACAAGTCAGGTTGAAAACAGGTCGGGTAATACCAGTTGTTTACCAGGTCAATCTCGGGTTCGAGTTCATATCAGTCGGATGCAGTTCGGGTTCGGGTATCATATTTTCGGTTCCATTCGGGTTCATGTCGTTTTCAGGTCGGATGCATGTCGGGTTCGGATCCACAATTTTCAGGTCCAAATCGGGTTCAGGTCAACACCAGTTCCGACTCGAGTCGGTTTCAGATCGCCACAGTACAGGTCAAAAATAATTTTGACTCGGGTCGATTTCAGTCAGTTTTACAGGTCGGATCAACTTTTTACAGACCTATCTCTAACTAGTAGCCCGCTTATTCGAACAGTGGGGTTACCAGTCAAAATAAATTCTACGTGCAAAAAAGTCTGAAATCTTATACCTAAGCTCATCGGGACAAATAGTCTGTTTCACAATGTTAAAAAAAAATTGTTAATATTAAATATTTGTGTAACTAAGTTTTTTAAAAATGATTATTTAAATATGAATAAACTTGAATGAAGTTCTATCTTATTCAAACTCGAATTAAGTTAATTAATTAACGGATTAATATGTTTTGATGTTTAATGTGTTAACAATTTATATAAGATTAATTTTTAAAATTATAAAAATTTATATTATGTTTATTTTTTTTTCATGTTAGGTTTTGATGTATAAAATTATCATACTCACATTTAATCAAAATACAAAGCACCAAAACGGAGCTTCATTAAAAACTCCCTACAAAATCAATTTTTACCGTTAACCTCGTAGTCTTGTTTAACATACCGAAAAATGTATAGTGATCCCCATCAATGTTGAAAGGTTTCACGGCACCTGCATTACGTGTACATACGACAATTTTACCTACATGGAGTCATTGACTGAATTCAACCTAAAGAATTTTGAAGAGTTTCCGGCAGTTATATATAGTATGTGACAAAGATCCCCAAAGCTCAGCATATACGATAATATTGTAAGAAAATAAGAGGACTCAAACCAGCTTGCAGTAATTTCTCATACATAAATTAGATCAAAAGGTGGCAAATAAATACATTCCATTCAAAGTCAACTAAATTAAGTAAACCCCCTCCAAGCCCCTAAATTTTTGGCTAATGATATACAAATATAGTTAAAAAAGAAAGAAAGAAAGAAAAAAACAATGGAAGCTGCTAATTAAATTTACAGTTATAGTTTGATGGTGGCCATCATGTGAAGTAACCAAGGAAGCACGCATGGTTTCCTTAAGAATCCAATTAAGAGAAGATGCTTGAGAGTTTTTCAAGAAATCTCTCTGCCCGTTTCATTTCATTTGAATATCAAAATGTTGCCTTCTTGCGCAAAGAAATTTAATGTTCCTTGCTTCTTCTCCACTTCAGCTTTTGTTATCCAATGCCAAAGTAAACGAAATGAACTTGTATGAGCCGAACACCTCTGGTTTTTCTTCAACTTTTTGCCTTCTCGACATTTTTCGCCTTTTCTTTTTTACTTTTGATTTTCTCAAATATTTCAACGAGGGCATAGGAAATATTAGAAAGAAAATGATGTTGGTCTCCAGCAATATCTTTAGATGCCATAGACTGATACAGAACCCGGTTCGGTTGCTGCTTAGGAGCTGGCACAAAGAACCTCTTCCAGTGTCTTGGAAAAAGCCCGAAATCGGATGGACTAAATTAAACTTTGATGGATCTTGTAAGGGTAGAGGAGGGAAAGGAAGCATTGGAGGGATCATCAGGAACCACAAGGCTGAATTCTTACTCGGATATGCTGAATCCATAGGGAGAACCACTAGCACTATCGCCGAACTATCTGCGCTACGAAGAGGCCTCGAGTTGGTTTTGGAAAATGGTTGGACCGATATATGGCTTGAAGGCGATGCCAGGACACTGATTGACGTCATTGTCCATCGGAGACAGGTTAAATGTGCCGAACTACAAAGATATGTTAGCCACATAAACTTGATCATACCAGAGCTTAACAGTTGTTTCCTGACTCATATCTATAGGGAAGGCAATAGAGCTGCTGATATGTTTGCTCAAATCGGACATCAGCTAGAGAAGCCTCGAATTTGGTGGCACGTTCCTCCGAATGAAGTTGTACGTATTGTGGAGGAAGACGCTGAGGGTAAGATGATTCTTCGCAGACGATAAACCAACTCTATGTGTAATATATTTGTACGTTTAACTATTTGTCGGTTCCTCTGATAGTCTGCAATTTTTCTTGTTGTCAATTATGCTAAATCGAGTCAACGTATCCCCTTTTCAACATGTAACTTCACTGTATATATGTAATCAAATTCAGGTTTTAATGCCAAAAATAAAAGCAGATGTTATTATCCCAGTACGTAGTACATTATTCATGAAAAAGCTGGTCCATGGAGGCATCCTATGAATGGAGAATTATGAAATTAAGTTATACCTTTGAGATTTGAGTTTGAACGTACCATTCAAGTGGTCCGTACCTGAACCTGAAGTTGTAATAAAGAAAATCATGGTACAAGACGATGAAATCGATGGTTGGATTTTTTTTTGGGCGGGGGTGGTTTAAAGGTAGTACAAAATTGATGGTTTCTTATCTACTTTGTGGTTTGCCTTTACGGTGGCCTGAGCTAGTTCTCTGTGCGTTGTCACCGCTGGGCCCTGCACCCGAGATGATTTTGTTTCGCATATTTTATCATTGCCCCTGTCCCTGTGTTGAGGTGACGGATTGTTTTCCAGTTGAAAATATACTGGAGTAGCAAGCGTGTCGGACTTGTAATAGTAATTCAAGAAATTTAGATGAGATTTTGCAAACGGATGGAAGGTTTTTGCGTTCATTCCCTGCTCTGTGGGTCTACACGCATTTGCGGATGGATGGTTTTTGCTTTCATTCCTTGCTCTGTGGGTCTACATACAATTCACTAATTTATGATTCTCACTTCAATCAAATTCAAAAAAACAAAAAAATTAATGAAATTACATACACGCAGAGACAGTCAGGCAACAAACATCCATCTCCTTGAACCCCTATATCAACCTATTCCTGTATCCTTTAGAATAATGTTTCACCCACCGAATAGTGCACTCTAACCTACGAGCTAACGTTTCTTCACGGCAGGTTCTTTCTGCGAATTGAAATACACTGCAGCAACGGGGAGCCCCAGCCTGTTTCGTTCAGCGGATCGGCGAGTGCTGAAGTTGGCACGCACATCCATCACTTGAATTCTTCCTTCGATTGCTCCTTCCTGCTTAAAGAGTGTCAAAATGTAGCGGTGAATCCCTGTAGGAGGTTGTGGTCCCACGTAAGCTACCAACTCTCGTCCTGTATTAGAGAGATGTTATAGTTTTAAATGAATTTGATTCTTTATTCCTTGAAAATGATTCATATGTAAGAAATAGATCAATGGCAAAGGTAATACATTTGGTAGCATCATGTCCCCCAGGAATATCTACTACAATACTGCAAAATAAACATTATTTTTTCACCAAATTCTACGTTGTAAGAACCTAAAACTCTCCCACTCTTACAGATGCAGTAGCAGAGATAGGCATAAAATGGCTTATATTTACCAATGGAGCCACTCCCTCAATCGTGGTTCACTTGGACCTGGAGCATCAGGATCAACCATAACCTACGTATTATTGCCAACAATAAGTACCATCTTTAAATCACTAACAAAGTAATGTGCGAGGAAATTGAAGATGTTGTCGAAAACGGGTAAAGAAAACAAAAGAACACGAGAATTTTACGAGGTTCGGCAATATGCTTACGTCATCAGTACCTAGGCGGCGCTAGAAGTTTTATTCAATGATATTTTAGGTCTAGGTTACATCTATATTTATAATAGAAAATCATGATACATAATTATAAAATCAACCCTGTACCGTACCGCGGGAGCTGCACCCCACACCCCCAACCCACATAATTCGTAACCCCACAACGAGACTTTCTTTGTAAGGACAGTTGATGTTCGCTTCGCTCACTCCGCTTCATCTCCTGTCCTCTTTACTGGTATATTTATGAGCCATACTTAATAGAAGAAAAAACTTTTAAAAAATTACATACTAGTGTGTATAAATTGGAAGAGAGTGAATGGCCAAGAATTTGGACATGAGGTTTATCAGCAGCAGCAGATGGCTTGATGTCACGGCCATTGGTTACTTGCTTGCTGCCACACTGGACGGTGAACTCCGACGACGGAGTGAACATGTCGAGCATATCTCCAATCACTTCGCCAACAACTATTGTCTTAACAGACCGCGCCATGTGTCCTATTTGTGTTTTATCTTTTGATTGAATTAGTCAAATATATATGGTTTTGGAACTTTTTAAACCTTTTGGGGTAATGGTAAGTGGCAAAATGAAATTCGCCATTTGGGCTTTGTCGAAGACTGACACGTTGATGACAACTCTGGTGAACTTTGTACGTCCCCCCGTTCACTGAAATATCCTCGAATTCGTGTCTTAATTACAACACCTGCTTTCATGTTTTATGTGAAGATCTCAAGGGTCAAGACAGATATTTCATCGTTACCGGGCCCTTAAAGCTTTAGGTTTAAAACTATTAATAAAGACTTGGGTTCAAGTGTGAAAATACCAGAAAAAAAAAAACTACAATCAAACTGAACTACAGGAAAAGTGGGGAATTCTTGTTCGCCCACAGTTTTACTTTTATATTTAATGCCAAAACACACAATTAGGTGGCATAATCAGACGCCAGTATTGGGCTTAGTCGAATGGATAACTGATCCACAATTTTGGACGCTTCCAGGGACCATTATTTAGTAGTATTGTCTTTTTAATAATTACTCCATAAACCATTAATTATTGCTGTTAAGTTGATAATTTGACGTTTTAAATACTGACTGAAGTAAATTTTGTAAATGCTTACAAAAATATTAAAATTAATTGTCACACCCTAAATTAAAGACAAAAGTTTTCTATTATTTATTTCGGGATCCAAATTAGAAAATAACAAAACTTGGAGGACCTATGGCATGATTTTGCCACTTTTCTTTTTGGATGGGTTTAAAACCCAAAATCAAAAAGTTTTCATTTCTGGAACCCAAAACTAGGAATGTAAATAATACGAAACAGATCACGAGCTACTCAAGATCAACTCGGTTAAAGCTCGATAAATGCTCGACTCGAATGGATTCGGCTCGAGCTCGAGCTCAACTCGAGTTCGTAACGACCTGAAACGAACTACTTAATACTCGACTCGAAAAGCTCGTTAGCAGTTCGAAAATATAATATATTAAGATTTTGTTTTTAAAAAATAAATTATTAATAATATTAACATTTATGTGTTGATTTTTTTAAAAAATACATTATAAGGTTTTCATGTATTTAAGGTTCAGGTCTGAGTATTAGTTTGATGCTTCAATTGAGTTAAGTTTAAGATTTTTTCTTCATTTTGAGCCTTTTCGAGCTATAGTTCATGATTTCGAGTTCGATTAGACCTTGCAAATTTTAGGCTCGCGAGTTTTTGAGTCGAGTTGAGCTACACAATACTTAAGCTTGAGGCTCGTTTACAACCCTACCCAAAACCTATCTCTCTTCAACTTTCCATTTTTAGAAACTTTCCCAGAAAAAAACTTCAAATGACGTTTCACTGCCGATTGTAACTCCATTTTCGACACCTCTTGTACCATCGTGATATCATCGCCTTAAGTTCACCGGTATCTTCTTTGTAGTCGTTTCCATCAACGTGTGGAGGAGTAAGGTGAATCAAGTTTTCGACGAGTCGATATCGAGCTCTCTGCCGTTCACCATAGTGAACCGAGCTTTGTAAGTGCCTCAAATTTCCTTGAAATGACTTTAGAATTTTTTCGTAGCCCAATGCCGTTGAATGTAACCCCACGCGCCATTGCTGCGGGTGGGGTTTGTCCACCGCCTGGTGGACCTTCTAGAAGCATGTCAACATGACCAGCTAACTTAACCTGACCCGACTCACCTACCAGTCCCGATCTAAAACCCATTCGACCCATTGTCCTTCGGCTCAAACCGACCCAACTAAACCAGATAGAATCGGTCTAACCAAACCTGATCGAACCGATTGACAGTTGATCGATTTTGACTTTGACCGTTGACCGTCGTTGGCTTTTTTTTTAAAACCCACCTCCTAACTTTTTTTGCTTCCTAAGTCCGATTTTAGGTATGTTTCACCAAATTCTATCCCGAAAGCCCCGAAATGAGCCTTTTAATCCGAAAGTGCTTAGTAATTTTAGCATTTTAGCATATTTACTTGGGCATTGAATCTAGAATTGTTATGGGATTATATTTTTATAAAGGTATTCATATTTCCCTTGATCGATGGTCGACTAAATTCAGTGTTCCTCATCCAACGGATCCATATGAATAATGTCAATAACAATCTAAACCTCCTCCTCATAACTTACCGTAAAAATAATGTCATCAACGTATATGAGCAAATACATAATACTACCAGCAGTTTTCTTAACAAAGAGTGAAACATCAGACCTTGCTCACAAAACTCTGAGATAGCAAATATTCCTTATGTCTCTCAAACCAAGCTCGAGAGCCTGATTCAAACCATAAACTACTTTTTTTATGTTAGGTATGGCTCATAAATATACCGAGAAAGTCTCATAGTGGGGGTTATGATTATGTGGGTTGAGGGTGTGGGGGGTGTGGCCCTGCGGTATGGTAAAGGGTTATTTTTATAAATATATACCAGGGTTTATTTATTATAAAAGGAGATGTAACCTAAACCTATGAGACATTAAATTGAATAAACTTCTAGCACCACCTAAGGCACCGAGAACGTAAGCACATTGCTGAACCTCGTTAAAATTCTTGTGTTCTTTCTGTTTTCTTTAACCGATTATTCAAAAATTGGTATAAGATGTCAGGAGCCAAATTTGAAGTTGCGAAATTTGATGGTCAGGGTAACTTCGAATTATGGCAAACAAGGGTGAAGGATCTATTGGCGCAGCAAGGGATCCTGAAGGCTTTGCGACCTAAAAAACCGGCATCGATGGAGGAGGAATATTGGGAAGAATTACAACAACGAGCGGCAAAAACCATACGATTATGTTTGGCGGATGAGGTCATATATCACGTCATAATCTGTCGTCTCCAGATGAAATTTGGAAGAAGTTGGAAAGTCAATTTATGTCAAAATCCTTAACGATTAAATTGTATATAAAGCTACGACTGTATGAGCTAAAGATGCAGGATGATCATGATTTGACACAACACGTGAATGTATTCAATCAAATCGTTTCTGATTTGGCTCAACTTGATGTGAAAATTGAGGATGAAGGCAAAGTGATGATTCTGTTGTGTTCGTTGCCTCCCTCTTACGAACACATGGTGACTACTTTTACATATGGGAAAGAGACTATCAAAGTTGAGGAGATTACTGCAGCCTTGTTGGCTCACAACCAGCGGAAGCAGAATGCAGGGGAGAGCTCTCAAGCTGATAGCTTATATGTTAAGGGTAATCAAGACCGTGGATGGAAGCCAAAGAAGTCAGGGTCTGGGAAGCAGAGTTTCATATCTAAATCTAGGGATAAGAAGACAATTCACTATTACAAGTACAAGAAAGTGGGATATATGAAGTGAGACTGTCTAAAGTTGAAAAAACAGACTGATGAGAACGTGATGACTCATCCAAGTTTGTGAATGTGGTTGAGGATGACAATTCTGATTGTAGTGAGGGTGATATGCTCTCTATTTCAACGACTCAATTGACAGATGCTTGGGTTCTTGATTCTGAATGTTCTTATAACATCACACCAAATAGGGAATGGTTTTCGACATACATGTCGGTTAATTATGGTTTTATCTATTTGGGTGATGATCGATGTTGCAATATTGTTGGTATTGGTGATGTCAAAATTAAGATGTATGATGGTTCTGTTTGGACGTTGTATGGTGTTCGACATATCCCAGATTTGAAGAAGAATTTGATTTTTCTGGGCACTTTGCACAAGAATGGTTTTATCCTTAAGGCTGATGAGGATAGGGAAACCATTCGGATTGTTAAAGGAGCTTTGACTGTGATGAAAGGAAAGATGACAACAGAGAATATTTACAAATTGTTAGGGAGTACCGTTATAGGTGGAGTTCATTCTGTTGAGTCCTGTGATGATACTACCAAATTGTGGCATATGTGTCTTGCTCATCTTAGTTAACGTGATATGGTTGAATTATATAAAAAAATCTGTTGCATGGTGTTAAAAGCTGTAAGCTAGATTTTTGCAAGTATTGTGTTCTTGGTAAACAAACTAAAGTTTGTTTCAAGACTAGGAAGCACACAACTGAATGGATTCTTGATTATGTGCATTCTGATGTATGAGTGTCTTCCAAAACATCGTCTTTGGTGGATCTAGGTATTATGTTACTTTTATTGATGATTTTTCACGGAAAGTTTGAGTGTATTTTTTGAAACAGAAGTCTGACGTTTTTGAGAAGTTTAAGCTGTGGAAAGCTGAGGTAGAAAACCAAACAAGAAGAAAAATCAAGTGTTTACGGTCTGAAAATGGTACGGAGTACACAAATTCACAGTTTTTAAACTTCTGTAAGGAGCATGGGATTAAGAGGCATTTTACAGTGCACACGACACCACAACAGAATGGTGTTACGGAACGGATGAATAGGTCGTTGAATGAAAGAGCCAGATGTTTGCGGTTGAATGCGGGGTTGTTGAGTTAATCGATCGATGGAATCGGCCAAGAGGGGGTGAATTAGTAATTAAAATTTTGGTGGAAGCTTTTGTAGAAATTGAAAGTAATTGCACAATGATTTACAGTGGTTCAACTTTCTCAACAAAGTCTACGTCCACTACCTTAGCTATCCACACTAAGGATTTTCCAACAAATTCACTAATTTGTTCTTTCTTTTGAGGCCAAAGAGATAACCTTACAATTCCCTCAAGAATATACCACAATTCTTGAGAACACTCTTTTCTCAAAGAGAAGATTACAAATTTGCAAACTTACAAGAAAAACCTCACAAGGTAAGATGTTTGCACAATTCTAGAACAAGAAAAGAACACTAAAAAATAATTACAAATGAGCATAAATGGTGTTCTTGAAAGCAAAATGAATATTGAAAGGAAAATTGGCTTGATTTGCACAAACTTGGTGTTTGATGCCTTCTCTCTTGTTTCTCTATGATTTCTTATTGATCAAAGGCTTCAGAACTTGTTTATATACTCCCTCAATTGATTCTGAACGTTTGGGATGATTAGTGGAGTCAATGGAGCCGTTTAAGTGTGAAAATAATTAATATTTCTG